CCAAAAGACAGCCACGAAGCATTCATTGGAACATCTTGTCGTAGTAATGTTTCAATAACATGGCCCTGAAGATAATAGGAATGGCACTCAATAAATCGCTGCTCGTTTATTGTAGTTTTAGGAACACGGCCGGGTTTCTGCTATTGGCCAGTTGAATAACACTCAAGGCAGAACCACTGTTCAAACTTCTGTACAGAGGACTCAAATTCAACAAACCCAGCTACTTATCAGATTTGCAATTTTATTATGGATGGGATGGAGCATAACAGAGACCCTAAATAAAAATAACGTGAATATGGATGTCTTAAATCCAATGCGTAATATAAACCAGTATAGCTTCCACTGAGGTTATAAAGTCAGCTCAACGATAAAATGCGGGAATCATATACACCAATCACTTTTCCCTGTTGCATTATACATACACATACTTGATATCATGAAATAGAGTTGTCAAGAATCATCAATGATTTGTCTCAATAGCAACGCTATTTAGGGAGAGCTGCTTGAGGTGATGAGAACAGTGATCATGTTGACCGTTTTCATCGTACACGGTCGTTCATAAAACTAACAAAATACTTTGTGATGATTCACACTACTTTTTGATTAGCCAACCAGAGTAATTATTATGAGCTGTATATTTTGACGACATCCAGCCAGCAGTCAAACCGATTCACCGAATAAGTAATTTTGTCACGTTTGAGGAGCACAGAATAATGACTCACATATTCTTCCTCCCCTCCCGGTGCGTGATCGAACGCATAATCGTCGTACATTTCCTTCGAGGATAATTTAGCCTTTCCTTAATGTCCTTTAAGGTTATTGGGAACCGTCTGATTACATTATATTATGAAAATATATTTTTGGAGATGTGTGTTATTGCCATCATATATGACAAACTCAGTGGCCTTTTTCAAGGTCATTCGATAACCTTACTCAATGTGAAGTTTTCTGGCGATATGATTGGTCGTGGTATTGACTTATCGTCACCTATAGTTACAGCACAGGTGATCCGATGGGGGACTCAGGCTGAGGTCGTTTACTGATGCCACAGAACAACTCGAAATTGAATTCAAATTGCAATAATATTTGGAAAGGCAAAAGGACTCTACAGCGGTCTTTATTTGTTTTTGATACAACTGATTACACTCTATTCATTTTGGAGTGGTGCTTGAAGAACACGTGTGCCAGTACTGGATAGTGAATCGGATAGACACACACGTGTATGCATGCAAACGGGTGAAAAATGCACACGCGAAAATCCGCGTGTCCACTTATTACGGGTACTCTATCTTCTGGGTTGGTTACATTCGTGCATTGCAATTGTAGACGAAGAATCACTTGCTTTGATCGGTATTTCAACTAGTGTGGTACCCCATCGATGGTTTGAGTAGGGTGTGTGTACGTGGGTAGACGAGTGTGTGCGAAGGCACACTTAAGTCATTTGAGAAGAATCGATCTGTGCTGGTGCTACACAAGCACTATGTCGTTCGGCATTTGCATGGTGTAACTGTGCCATGCATGAACTATGAAGTCACTGTCATCAAACGGCTCAGTGAAAGGCACTCCTCGACGTTTCAACCTTTGTAGATAAAATAGGCTGTTTGGAGACACATGCATCATGAGTCGCAGACAACAGATTGGTGACACACAAGAGAGATTAGCAGCTACGTGCGCTTACAGCTAAACCGTCTGTGCATAGAAATTACCTCCTCATTTGCCTTCCTGAGGCGAGCGTGTTTCCATCGCTTGAGCCCGTGTGTATATGCTATCGAGTGTAATGTGAATCAAGTAAGTGGTTAGGAGAATAACCGTGTGTCAAAAGAAGGAAAAAACAACCCATACCACATTATGTACCCTCCCTATGTGAACAACCTGATCACCCGCTCCTGAGGGTATGGTTTGTGGAAGGATGTAGAAACGGTATAGACCATCTGAGCAACTAATTCGAATTAGACTGCTTCCAGATGTTCGTGGCACTACATTGGAAACCAAACAAAATGATCACACTAACGCAAATACCTACGAGGGACTAAACAAATAGTCGTTCCTCATTTTACTGCAGACCATATTTTTTCTGTATCTGAGACAACTGAATTATTTAGTTTGCAATCGAAGAAGCTGCAGGATGACCTTTGGATAAGTAAATCTTTCAGCTGTATTATGGTGCCTAACTGGAATGCCACCAGAAGAAAGCACGAGGGCTGGGATACTGTAAGGTTGCCCAATTCTAGACGGTAGAAGTCGAGAGGCGGAGGTCGGGTTCAAACCACGGGTCAGTAAATCTGCTCTCTAACCACTTAGGCTTCGGCATATGTTAGCTTTTCCTGTTATCCACTGCTTCAAATAATGTGGCGTCCCCACAAGGACAACTTGTTCAAAGAACCTTGGAAATCATCTCCCGAGTTGTGGAGAAGTTAGACATTAACTGCAGAATGTGATTAGAAACAGAATCAGTTCTCACAACTATCTGGTTTGAGTGGGGAATAACGGCCGTTCAGGGAATTTCCTGTCCCATTTTAATGAAGGATCGTTCTTCCACGTAGGATAGTAGAAGCTAGGCGGTAACCGTTCGTTACAAACTTTAAATTTATACTGCTTCTCAACCAGCAAAACAATCCACTACAGCAAGGTGTCCTCGCACTGACGACCACCCTGCGACGGCTGGGTAGGCACATCCGGTTCCTTAATAGTCACTGGTGGTGAAGAATTCCATTACCGCACTCCACTTGCCGAATAACTTATAACCGGTGCAGCAGATGAACGAATCAAGCGGAAACAAACTATTTTCTGTAGTCATGTCAGTGGACCGACTTAATCAAGGAAGGAATGTTTAAAGATGAGGGTTGATGCCAGAAATATTGCTAAACAGTTTTTATACCTTTTATATTAGTCATTCAGGTAAAAGTATTGGGAAACACACTCGGAAATGGGTGTGTATCCCAAGGATTTTTAAATAACTTCCAAAAAGTTATATCAGTGACTATTCTCCTCCTCTGGATTGTGCTTGGTGTAGCGTGCATTTTTTCAAAGTCTTATCACACGCATGAGGGACGTAGATGTCTCTTTACCGAGATTATTGTACGTAAAGACGACAATTATCCATTTTTGGCAGCATGTGTAAGATGAATCTATCGTCTATCTGAAGGTACATATAAGCTTGAAAGTTATTTGTTTGTATGTATGTTTGCATGTATGCGAGCGATCAGTCCAATCACATGGACAAAAGAGCCCTACAATTTGAGGTGAGTAAGACTGGAATACCGATAAAACTATTAGTGCCCCTTTGTACAGTCCTGGGGAACTTATTCGTTAGGACGGTTACTTATGTCGGGAAACGGTGGTGTCTTCACTATAGCAGATATATCCAAAAGCACACCTAGAGCTGCATTGTTTATACTCGGGCGATTTTCCTTCCGAACCCCACTGATTACTCGGTCCCAGTTTTTGTCTGCGAGTCCCATTGCAGCCGAGGAAACGAATTTTTAGGCCAAACAGCATCTGTGTTAGTAGATTAATTAGCATTTTCGAAGTCTGTAGGACATTAAAACTGAATGGCCAGTACCCATAGAATCAAGAAAGTAAGAAAGCCGTCTCATTAATCGCCAGGCGAGCGAAGGAAACGGGAAAAGAGCTGTACAAATTCAGCCAAACTGAATAAAAGTTATAAGCGGTTGCGGAGCTCATGATATTCGCATTCACATCACTATCATAAATAGTCCTCCTCCTGTCCTGGCGCGTTTATTCCGCTGAAGGCGTTTCAAAGCGTGGAAGCACCATCCTCACCTATGGTACTGGGAGTAGATCCGTACCCTGCTCACATTAGAGAATTCTTGATAACTCTCATTATGTTCAGAATTAGCCGCACGAACAAATTGCATCCAGTATGGCAGTTGGCACAATGGAGCTGGTCGTCTAGTTAAATCTAGCTTGTGACACAGAGGTCCACTGTCGAGGAAATTCGGGACTTACGAGAGCGCATTACTTTTGTAAATCGCTGACACGCACCCTTTTCTTCGATTGGCTACCGACAACATAGGATCACTCATGATCACTTTTGCACATGGCTGGGCAGAGACAGAAGACTCTTAACGGGTTCATAAAATAATTGTTTAATACCGTGATGCGTGGACAGAATATGACAGAACACACTATTCACAAGATTGGTGAAAACACTTCGGCTGTCCACTGCCATTTGTCCACTAGGATGCCCGTCAGACAGATCTCCGGATTTCCGTTAGCCTAAGTTTGTGTAACATTTTTGGGTTGAACCGTTCTTAGCTATATTGAGATACCATTGGTTGGTGCATTCTAATCCATTGAATCTCTTCTGATACATCACGACTTGTGCTGAATTCATTGGTTGTAAAAACGTTAAAAGCAAACACCGTTTTTCTACTTGTGTTCACGAAACAGAATCCAACCCGTGGCAATGAAACTCATTTTGGCTGATCCGCCGAACAGTAATAAGCAAACAGTAGTTAGCAAACCTGTATTAAATTGAAGCAGGTATTGAATTTAAAATTCCTTACATCTAGATTTGAAAATTCCACAACTACACCACAGATGAACTTAAGATGTGTTGCTTTTTAATTTGCAATAGCTATTTATTTATTTTTTTTAGTGTCACAAACATCACGTACTTTATTCATGACCTAAAGTATTGCTTGTTAATGAGGTTCGTTTATTGGCATATTAAATCCATGTATCGCCAAGAGTCACTCATTCGTCTGAGATCCACGATTTCGTTACTGATTCTTCTTGATATTTACCTAGTTTATAGACGTTTTGTTAAGTTTATTGGGATGGTTGTTTCATTTGCAAACGCATGTCACGTCTCGCTCACAAACCACAATGATGTAAGCACTTATTTTTTGTTTCAACTTCTTGGCACTATTCGAACAAATTACGCATTTGACTATCATGATCCGTAGAACCATCAGACGATCCAACATTCCAAGAATGCGGCGTACGTTGCTACTTATGAAATGTTGGGACTCACAGGTACATTATCTACTGAATGCTGCTGATAAGAACTGCCATGTGGATGACTCCACATCTGAGACGGAAGCAACAGATTTATTGTGCAAATTGTGGCATTGTATCTCCATTGAACACCGTTTTCGGATGAATCACAGGGAGGTGAAATCGCCTTCGTTGTTCATGCATGGGAAGTTGGAAGTATTTATATTTACACATTGGGCAGGTCGTTTTTGATGATTGCGCAGTGCACTCCTTGGAAGCTAGCTCATTTGAGATCTTTGATTCCCGCTTGTAACAAGGGAGAGCTGGAAAATAAGATTTTTCGTAGGGCTTCATTCATTTGGTTTCATTTCCACTTGGGGACTACATATTAGGTACCAGTGCACTGATGTCTACTTTATGCGACTTCCGGTCTCCTTGGTAGATATCCGCATTCCGAAATAATGGCCTTTTACCCTAGGCGGATGAATTTATTCACCTTAATCTCAGCCGTCCGTGCATTGATCTTGATGGGAGAATGGCAAGTTGTCTAGAGGTAGAAGCTGTTCTGTTTTGGAATGTGGCGCGGCACTGATAAAAAACTGACGTTTTGGTTTACACATCAATGAAGGCTGTGGTCCGCCTCAAATAAACTATCACGAAATGTTGTAGTTCACATATATCAATAGCACTATCAATAGCACAGTTGGGAACGTACAGTGACAAAGTTTCACAAGACCTTGTACAACCAAAGGTAAAATGTAAGAACTCAGAGCTTAGTCTGTTTTCAAATGACTCCAAGAAATATCGGAAACGTGGTACTCAATCCACGTGATACAGAATGCAGCGCTTCTGCTTGGTTTGCACCAGGATT